ATAGGAAACTCCTTTAACACAACTCTCCGCCGTTTTTTCTCTTTAGAAAATCGATTTCGTAAAGATCCTGATCTCGAAAAATCGTGTAAGGAACAAATTGAAGAATATGAACTTCTTAACCACATGACGCTAGTTCCCGACGATCAATTAAATCACTCTTCTGGATTTTATTTGCCCTATCACGCGGTTATTAAAGAAGAGAGTCTGACGACAAGATCTAGACTTGTTTTCGATGCATCGACAGAGCCTCCAACTGGTGTTTCACTGAATGAAGCCTTAATGGTAGGACCAACAATTCAACCCGACCTTTTTAGTCACTTAATACGGTTCCGTTCTCGACAATTTGTCTTAACTGCTGACATCGTGAAAATGTATCGCCAAATAAAGATGCACCCTGATGATACTTCATTTCAAAAAATCATTTATCGAGAATCTCCCGATAAACCCATCAAAATTTACTCACTAAATAGAGTAACATTTGGTGTGGCGAGTGCCCCTTTTTTAGCCACTCGAGTTCTACACCAATTAGCTGATGACGAATGTTTACAATATCCTCTAGCATCGGAAGTTTTAAAAAATGATTTTTATGTCGACGATTTAATGACAGGTACAAACACAAAAAAGGAAGCTGTTGAATTGCGCGACGACCTTATTGAACTACTTAAAAAGGGTGGGTTTTGTCTCAGAAAATGGGCTTTAAATGACCCTTCTATTGTGTCAGATCTTGAAAACTCCAGGGATAATCCCTTTATGGCTCTTGATTCTTCAGACTCAGTGAAGACACTAGGGGTTCATTGGAATTTTAAGGAAGACACAATTTCTTACACTGTAAAATTACCTGAATCTAACAGTAAAACAACCAAAAGAAAAATCATCTCACAAGTTGCAAAAATCTTTGATCCTTATGGTCTTTTAGGTCCTGTTATTATTCCAGGAAAAATTATGTTGCAAGAGTTATGGAAATTAAATATCCATTGGGACGAAACTATTCCAACTTCTATTGAAACATCTTGGCGCGAATATCTTGATCAATTACCCTGTATTAATCAGCTTCGATTTCAGAGATGTGCTATTTCCCCAAATGCTAAAAATCTGCAACTTCACGGATTTTGCGATTCGAGTGAAAAGGCTTATGGGGCGTGTCTTTATATTCGCTCTATTGATGAAAGGGGACAAGCTCAGGTAGTCCTTTTGTGTTCAAAATCCCGAGTCGCACCCGTCAAAACAATCTCGTTACCTAGATTAGAACTTTGTTCGGCACTATTACTCGCGGAACTCCAAAATTTAGTTCAAAATACTTTGAAAATCAATTTTGATCATACTTATTTTTGGTCCGATTCCACTATTACACTTCATTGGATTAACACCCAACCACATTTGCTTAAAACATTCGTCGCTAATCGTGTAGCAAAAATTCAGACGCTTACCGACATTCGGCATTGGAAACATGTACCTACCTCTGAAAATCCAGCTGACCTCATATCACGTGGTCAATGGCCAAAAGAATTTGCAAAAGGCACCCTTTGGTCAAACGGTCCTCAATATCTCCTTCTTTCTGAAAATCACTGGCCGTCGCTTGAATTAAAAAATGAAAGCATTCCTGAGATGAAAATTCAAAAACCAGTTCAAATGGTTATGAACATAATCGTTTCAAGTAGAAACATTCTTGAAAAATTTTCGTCTTTCAGAACTCTCGTCAGAGTTATTGCTTATTGCCTTCGTTTTGCACATAATGCAAAAGGAAAAGACAAACAAATTGACGAATTAACAAAAGACGAACTTAATTTATCCTTGAATCGAATAGTGCGATTAACTCAAAAAAGAGATTTTTCTAAAGAAATTTCCGCTTTGTCTCGAGAAGAGGAAATTGATTCTAAAAGCCCGATAAAATCTCTTAATCCTTTTCTTGATGAAGGAATTATTAGAGTCGGTGGAAGGTTAGAACATTCAAACCTGAAACCTGAACAAAAACATCCAATTCTTCTTCCGCGAAATCATCATGTAACTACTCTTATCGTGCGCGAAGAACATGTTAAACTTCTCCATGCTGGTATACAGACTACGCTATATTCGGTCAGGGAATTATATTGGCCCATTGACGGACGTAACACCACGCGAAAAATTATTCATCAATGCATGCCTTGTTTTCGCGCAAAACCACGCGATATAAATTACGTCATGGGAAACTTACCTGCAAAACGCGTAGAATTTGTTCGTCCTTTTCTACATACAGGAGTAGATTATTGTGGCCCTTTTTTTATAAAGGAAAAGCGATTGCGAAACCGTGGTAAAGTTAAATGTTACGTTGCGATTTTTGTTTGTCTCGCATGTAAAGCTGTGCATTTAGAAGTAGTAAATGATCTCACTACTGAGTCATTTCTCGAAGCTCTGAGTCGATTCATATCACGTCGAGGAAAACCGATTTCTCTAATGTCAGATAATGCAACAAACTTTAAAGGTGCTGACCGCGAACTCAAGGAGTTGCAAGAACTTCTGCAATCGGAAAAACATAATGAAGATATCAAGAAATTTTTAAATGATAGTAAAATCATGTGGAGTTTCATCCCCCCGCGCGCTCCTCATTTTGGCGGTCTGTGGGAAGCTGGCGTGAAATCGTTCAAACATCACTTTTTACGCTCCGTCGGCGACACTCTTTTAACATATGATCAACTCGAGACTTATGCAATTGAAATTGAGGCTGTTTTAAATTCTCGTCCTTTGTCTCCTTTATCCTCTGATCCCAATGATCACAGACCTTTAACTCCTGGACATTTTCTGATTGGTGAACCACTAACAAGCCTTCCTCAAGCTGACTTCCGAAACACGCCCATCAACCGGCTATCTGCATGGCAACATTCACAATTACTAAGGAGACACTTTTGGACCAGATGGCACAAAGAATATTTAAACGAGCTCAACACTCGCACCAAATGGAAAAATGCGAACAAAAATATAACCATTGGAACTCTAGTGGTTCTAAAAGAAGATAACACTCCACCGTTGCATTGGGTATTGGGAAGAGTTATTGAAACTCACCCGGGCCAAGATGGTGTTGTACGAGTTGTGACTGTTAAAACAGAAGCCAGCACTTACAAGCGAAGTGTTAAGAACATATGCCCATTACCAAATGAACAAAATATCGAAAATGCAGTTTCATAATTGATTATCTAAGAAATGTTACTTGTGTTTCACTCATTGATTGTTATATTTGTTCGAAATGTTAAAGGTTGTAATTGTCAAACATAAGGCTATATTAACAAAACAATTAAGTTTAATTAGTATTTACAACTTGTACACCGATGATAACACAATATACAGACATATGATATGTCTTCGTTCATTTCCTTTGAACACTCATTGTTCAAAGGGGGGCAGTATGTTACGATAGTTAAAAAGGTACAACTCTCTCCACCGTAAAATAATAAAAAAAAACATATTATAGTTTCCCAAAATATTCAACCTTTCAAGTTTATTACTTTATTGTAAAGTACAAATTCCGCAAAATGTTATTTTAGGAAGAGACTAAAATATCTAATTCTCTTTTTCCTTAAAAATGTTTTCAATTTTCTATTTGTAAGCATATGAAAAATAATACCATTTCATACTGCAATAAAATCATAAAATCTGTAATTCTTTCTTAGGATTAAGTTTCTAAAAAGGCTCATAAAGATATATCACGTCCAAATGATCTTTCCTTCCTACCTAAGAAAAACACTTGAATTGTAAAAACAACTTATAAACCCTTAAAATGACCACTCCTCTCATCATCTTAAGGTATCCGCCCCTCAGCGATTCATCCCTTCTCTAATATATTTCCTCCTCCACCAAATTCTACACTGACACTTGCAAAATTGTAAAACAGAACACTTTTATCCCTTAAAATAGAAACATCTAATACATAAAATCTACGGAAATTTATAAGTTTTGTAATCTTGTATTTAAAATATATGTATTAATCTATGATGTTTTCTTTCTTTTTAATGTGTTTTCAACCCAACATTCCAAATGACATAATTTTAGTCATTTTATAACTTATTAAATTCAAATTCAAGTCAAACTAGACTTGATACCTAACACATTCATTACTATAAAATTGCTCAAATCTAATTGAAATTTGTTACTCGGGGGTTTTAGGGGTCGCTGATTACGAATCTGAAGTCAGATTTAAAAAATTTAAAATGGCGGATCCAATATGGCGGTCGAATTTTGTGAAACTCATTGCATTCAGTTGAAACTCGTTACTCGGAGGTTTTTGGGGTCGCTGATTACGAATCTGAAGTCAGATTCAAAAAATTCAAAATGGCGGATCCAAAATGGCGGCTTAATTTTTCAAAATTACTCAGATTTGCTTGAAATTTGTTACTCAGGGGTTTTTTAGGTCGCTGATTACAAATATGAAGTCAGATTCAAAAAATTCAAAACGGCGGATCCAAAATAGCAGCTTAATTTTCCAAAATTACTGAGATTTGCATGAAATTTGTTACTCTGGGGTTTTCGGGGTCGCTGATTTTGAATATAAAGTCGCCTTTAGCCTTTAAAGAATTAAAGTTGCCCGATTCTCACCACGAGGAGGTAGGCAATATAGAGAATCATTTTTTTGGACTTTTTCAGTGTTTTTTTATTTTTTTTTTATTTTTTCAATTTAATAATTTACTTCTTTCAACTTTTTATTAAAAACTATTAATTTGTATTATGCGCTTTTTTGAAGCAATTGTCACAGTAATATAACTTGCATGTTTTGCAGTATTTCCTTGTTCGGATTTTGTATTTTGAGGTGCAACAGTATCGAGGTAAATGCTGTTTTTCTGTCTCATGTACTGACGACTTTTCTGTTCTTACTTTGCTCAAATAATCTTTGCTGATGCACATAGCCAAAAATTTTGTACTTTCTTTTTTTTTCATGACAAAGATTGTATAAAATCGTGGAATTGGCAATTGCTGATTGGATCATTCGAATAAAAATTATCCATGTCCATTTCTTCGATCTTATAATTGGCTATTCAATTGCATCGTTGATCGTGTAAATCAACGCCTCCCATTAACTGATTATACAGCATAAACGCATTCGGAAAATCTAATTCTTTTTTTTCTTTCTTGCCTTTCTGGCGACGTTTTACTTTTCCCAGTGGCGTTACTCCAGCTGCAGTGGATAATAGAGAAACTGGTTTGGAGTCCATCACAGTTATAAAATTTATGCCACTCTTCTTTTCGTGTTTCACTTCCCATTTTCCTCTTTCATCTTTCTCTGTGATTGCATTCTTGATATTGACACTATTTGCTCTGACTGTACCAGTAGCAACTAATCCATATTTCTTCAAATGAACGAGAAGATCCGGGCTAGTGAAGAGATTGTCAAAATAAATGTGCAGATCTTCTCGGTTACGCAGATGTACATTACAGAAAACGACTTGTAACATATTTATAACAACACGACTACCAAGAGCACAGTTTGCTAAATTTTCATTTTTATTGTCCATTTTGCCACAATATATTTCAAAATCAAAAAGGTAACTATTGGAACTGCAGAGAGCCCATAATTTTATTCTAAACCTTACTGGTTTACCTTTTATAAACTGCTTCAAAACTGACCTGCCATAAAATCTTAACATCATCTCATCGATGGATAGTGCACTTGAAAAAATTCCAAATCAAATTAGATTGCTCCTGAATATATTAGTCAATTTTCTTACACGCCATACTCTGTCAGCATTATTTTGATCATCGGGTTCGTGGAATTTTATTTTTGATTTAATTTTTTCAAAATTATCGCGTGTCATTGCAGATGCAACTGGTTCTGCTTTCAAATGTGGATCTTGAGACCAATAATCCCATTGAGACAATCTTTGGTTATACATTGTAAATATTATTATGCCAATGAAAACTTCTAATTCAGTAACTGACATCTCGTGACCGTTTTTTATCGTACAGTCGATAATATGATTTTTCAGTTACGTTGAAAAGAAGTATTCAAACAACTCGGTTGGAGTACTGTTCATTATATCAGACTTATGTTTTTGGCTCAGCATAATCTCGTTATTAAAAGATTTGATCTGCTTACACTCACCCTGTTTCCAATCAAACACATAATCAGCTTCTAATTTTTTTGACAGTTGTCGTAATTTTCATACACGTTGTCATATGATATGGCCTTTTGCAAAAAATCAGAATTATCTTCAGACTCGGAAATATCAGATTCAGACTGAACATTTTCATCTAGGGTATCTTCTAAATCAGATTCACCAGAATCATCAGCAGATGGAATGATGTTGGCATTAACAAAATTTTCAGTCTCTTCATATTCAACTACCAATGAACCGCGTTTCGAAAAATTTGAATCTTTGCGACGATTATTTGAAACATTTTTTTGAAGGAATAGTTTTAGCAGATGTCGAATCATTCGTTTTGATGCGAGAATGCTTTAGCGGAATACTTTTAGCAAGCAAAGAATCTGATCTTCTCTTCGACGATATTGTGTAAAAGAACTGTCAAATTATTTTTCACAAAACTATGAACATAGCGACTAATTAGCAATAACAAATGAACCGTGATTATTCACTTGTTAGTCGATGAAAATGTTGAGATTTAAAAAAGATATTTAAAAATCTGAAGATCGTTTTGATTTTTTGCAAAATGCTGTATTATACCTTATAGTAACTTGTATAAAAATTAAAACTCTTAAAAAATTAAAATCTGATTATGAGTTTCATTGAAAATAATATAAACAGAAAAAAAAATGTTAATGAATTTATGCTGAGCCTAAGACATAAGTTTGATGTAGTGAACAGTACTACAACTTATTGGATATTTCGACGTGATTATTGGTCTCAAGATCTACATTTGAAAACAGAACCAGTAGCATCTGAATGACCCGCGATAGTTTTCGAGAATAAAATTCCATAGTCCCGAAAATCAAAGTAATCCTTCCAGAGTTTGGTGTGTGAGAAAATCTATATATATAAAATCAGACTTTTGTCTGTACATTGCTTAGAACTTTAAATTTCGCACATAATTATTCGTTTTAGGCATCAAGGATGTCAAATATACCAATAAAAAATTTCGTGTATGTATGTATGTATGTATGTATGTATGTATGTATGTATGTATGTATGTATGTATGTATGTATGTATGTGTGTCGGTATGTCACAGAATCTTTGTTCGTGCATCACTTAAAAACGGCTGAACCATTTGAAACCAAATTTGGCAGAATGTTAGACCTTGGGCCAAGGAAGGTTTATAAATTTACAGATTTGAAAAATATTAATTAGAACGGGAGATATTCCATTTTTTCGAAAAATTCAAAAATCAAAAATTTTCAAATCTTACATTTTTCTAAAAAATGCTTTCAAACTTTCTATAATTGAGTATAACATGTTATTTAGTCACATTTTAGAATAGTTTTGCCAAAAATAATGACCTATAACTAAGATGTAAGTATAAAATTTTTTTTTTTAAATTCAAAAAATCGAAATTTCTCAAATTTTATATTTTTTAATAAATTGCTTTTAAACTCTTTATAATTGAGTATTACATGTTATTTAGTCAAATTTTAAAATAATTTTTAAAAAAGTACTGTCCTATAACTAAGACGTAAGTATAAAAATGATTTCGAAAAATTCAAAAAATCGCAAATTTCCAAATTTTATATTTTTTAATGGACTGCTTTTAAACTATCTATAATTAAGTATTACATGTTATTTAGTCACATTTTAGTATAATTTTGCAAAAAATAGTGTCCTATAACTAAGATTTAAGTATAAAAAAGTTTTCAAAAAATTAAAAAATTCGCAAGTTTACAAAGTTTACATTGTTTAATGAATTGCTTTTAAACACTGTATAATTGAGTATTACATGTTATTTAGTCACATTTTCGCATAATTTTGCACAAAAATGATATGACTAAGATATAAGTATAAAAATATTTTCGATATCAAAAAAACGAAAAAATTATAATTGTTATTAATTACTATCAAGTTTAATTCAGTAGTATTTTTAAGGTCTCTGATTAAGATTTTGACGTCAAAATAATGCAATTCATAATTATTTATCCAATTCATTCAGTATTCTTTAATTGAAAGAAGTTCAGAGACTCTAAAAATGGAGATGTTTTATAATAAATATTTTATGATAATTTTCCATAATTTTAGATTTTTTGCCAAAGAATGAAGACTATTAAATAAGTAAAATATTTTTGAAGAGCACAAAAATAATAAAGCTAAATGCCATAAAAAAGAAGGAAAAATATTGAATTTTAAGAAATTCGGTTTTTTGAATTTTTGCTAATTTTCCATAATTTTAGATTTTTTACCAAAGGGTGGAGAATTTTTAATAAGTAAATTATTTTTAAAGAGCACAAAAATAATGAAGCTAAATGCCATAAAAAAAGAAGAAAAAATGTTGAATTTTAAGAAATTTGGTTTTTTAAATTTTTGCTAATTTTCCATAATTTTAGATTTTTTACCAAAGGGTAGAGATAACAAATTAAGTAAAGTATTTTTGAAGAGCACAAAAATAATGAAGCTAAATGCCATAAAAAAGGAGAAAAAATGTTGAATTTTAAGAAATTCGGTTTTTTGAATTTTTGCTAATTTTACATAATTTTAGATTTTTTACCAAACATTAAAGACTTTTAAATAAGTAAATTATTTTTTAAGAGCACAAAAATAATGAAGCTTAATGATATAAAGGAGAAGAAAAAAATGTTAAATTTTAAGAAATTGGGTTTTTCGAATTTTTGATAATTTTTTATTTTTTGCTAAAAGGTGGAGACTATTGAAATAGTAATATTATACTACCGAAATATCTATTGGTAACTAATTATTAATTTTCCGGTCAAATTAAATTTTCGGCTTTTTTCTGATTTTCTAGATTGGTAGAAACATTGTTAAATGTATTGGTAGAAACTACACTGCAAAAACAAGTGTCTCATTTTTAGACGTTTTGTCCAATATTTGAAACACATAAGATGTCTTAGTCCACATATTTGAAACAGATATGTGTCTCATTTTAAGACGTTTCAAAGTGTCTTACACATTTAGCAATGCATTTTGAGACACGAAATGTGTTTCGAGTATCCGTCTCACACTAAGAAGACGTTTTACGTGTCTTATACGCATTGAGTTACCTTTAATGTCTTAAAATGAGACACGAGATGAAATTAAATGTCTCAATATAAAACAGATTTTGTATCTCAATGGTTTAAACACTTAAAGCAACTCATTTTAAGACACGAGTGAGATACCAATTTTTGCAGTGTAAAACCCGTCGAAGACGGGTACGACAGCTAGTTGACCAATATATTCAGACTAAATCTACATCGATTTAGTATTTTGAGTCCCCTTTTCGGCGATTTTATGGTTAAGATTTTATGGTAGGTCAGTTTTAAAACAATTTATAAAAGGTAAACCAGTAAGGTTTGGAATAAAATTATGGGCTCTCTGCAGTTCCAATGGTTACCTTTTCGATTTTGAAATATATTGTAAAATATAGATTACTTGATACTGGTAGAATTACAACAAATAGAGTATAACTTCGACATTTTGAATTTTTGGAATGTGACTTCATATTCGTAATCAGCGACCCCGAAACCCCCAGAGTAACAAATTTCATGCAAATCTCAGTAATTTTGGAAAATTAAGCTGCTATTTTGGATCCGCCGTTTTGAATTTTTTGAATCTGACTTCATATTTGTAATCAGCGAAATAAAAAACCCCCGAGTAACAAATTTCAAGCAAATCTGAGTAATTTTGAAAAATTAAGCCGCCATTTTGGATCCGCCGTTTTGAATTTTTTGAATCTGACTTCATATTCGTAATCAGCGACCCCAAAAACCTCCGAGTAACGAGTTTCAACTGAATGCAATGAGTTTCACAAAATTCGACCGCCATATTGGATCCGCCATTTTGAATTTTTTGAATCTGACTTCAGATTCGTAATCAGCGATCCCCAAAACCCCCGAGTAACAAATTTCAATTAGATTTGAGCAATTTTGAAAAAGTTTGTAATGTTACGTAAAATTAGGAATTTTTTTTGTCCTTCAAGCGCCATTTTAAATTCAAAATCGAAAAAAATAATAATTAGAAATGGATATTTTTCAAGGACAACTATCGGGAACACGTTTCTGATACTTTTTGTTCTATTTAAAAAATGTTATGGCGGAGAAAAAAATTCTTTAAAAAAAAATTGCATTCAAAAAACTTGACATTTTTAAGTATTTTTGAAAAAAAGAAGGGTTTAATATCATTTTTTGAAAATTTTGACCACGCCATTCGAAAGAGCGACCCCAAAAATAGTAGGATATGGACTTTTGAAAAATTTTATGGCTTCTTTCTACTAATTGTAGGCGTTTGAAATTCATCTTGAAAAGCAGCATTGATCAAAACATCTTTAGAAGTTTAATCTAAAAGTAAAATAACGTAACTTTTTACCACCTAAGCTTTTACCCATTAGCATAATGATAGTATCGTATCACAGGTGACT